AAGAGCCTCTGTCTTCCTGGACAGGCCTTGTCTCCCGACACAGCCCCACAGGTCTCCTCTTGCACGTGGAGGTGGAGGAGTGTGTACGGCCTTTTCAGAAAACCCAGACCCAAGTGTGGTGGTGTTGTGAATAGAATTTGAGCCATAAAGACCCACAAGGTTTTCAAGCACTTTTAAGCCAGGTTCCTCATATATATATGTATTGTGTGTGTGTGTGTGTGTGTGTGTGTGTGTGTGTGTGTAGGGGGTGAAGTTAGGGGGTTCACCAGTATTAATGCCAATTCTAGTCAGAATCTACTTAAGTGGGCTTAGTGAAAAGTTCCTGAAGGAGGAGCGTTCAGGTGGCCCAAGTGCGTTTTCAGAAGCTGTGGCACAGGAACATGCCCAACGTGGATGGGCAAATGAGGAAGGAAACGCCCAAGCTTGGTGACTTCATGTCGCTGAGACTGACCCAGCACCCCCAGAGCTCCTCAGACTCAATAGGTCCGTTGCATTTGGGGTGACAAAGTCCTTCTTTAAAAATACCTAAGTATCTTTATTTTTGCATGACTTGGCGTTTTAGAAACTTGTTATATGATAAAACACAGAGTCTGCAGTGCTGATGTTTTCACTTTGTGTTTTATCTTTTCACATGGCTGTTTTTGGTCAGGAGTGCCTTGAGGAGTGGGAGGAAGCTGCCCAGCACTGTCCCTCCAGTTGAAACCATAGCACCAGCCTCAGCGAAATCCCCAGCTTGAGGTAAAATGCTCACTTCCAGCTGTGGGACCCCGGACACTGCTTGCTGTGATCTGCCCTGCTCCTGCCTCAGCTCTTTCGTGTCAAAGTCACTGCTGTCCATCCCCTGCAGAGGAAAACCAATCCAGGAGGCCTCAAGGGAAGTTGCCAGAACAAGTAAAGTTCCTTCTGGAGCTCATCCATGCTCTTTGCCACGTCACACATGGAACCCACAATGAAGAGGCCAACGAGCAGACAGACCTGTGTTTTAGCAGCCAAGGATAAAACTCCGTTTCAGGAGTGCACAAATTTGTCCTCCCCTGTCCTGATTCTTCACTTAGAAAATGAGAATTAAAAGTAGATCATGTTAAATAGACAAGAAACACTCTTACATTTCTGTCCCTATTATCTTACTGAGGTGTAAAGGTGAAAGCTACTAATTCTGTCTAGAATAATGCCATTTCCACTACAAATAAGGGAATAAAAGTAACAGTGAGAAATCGAGTTAAAATGTATTTTTCCAAAGATTGGCCTTTGCTTTGTCTCCCGCCAGGGTACTGACGATACCCTGGGTGTGTACGCATGACTTAGATGTCCAGGCCCTGTGCCTCGAGCCGGCATACAGTAGATGTCATGGTTCTTTTTTAAAAGCCTGAGACATGAGGACCCTCTTCTGCTCTAAAATAAAGGTCATGACTGGTTTCCATTTTCCTAAATATATCAGAATCGCTTAGAGAAAGTGACTCCCCTTTTTTGTATAAAATCACATAACCAAAAAACTCCTCCAATATTATTAAAATGATTAAAGGAAAGACTTTCATTCTTAAGATCAAATAAACATAGTCATTAAGCTATGGAAACCATCGTACTGCGTATTGTCAGTAAGAATGTAGGCATTTGCCTAGAACTTTATAATTTCAAAAACAATAGTATGCATCTTTAGTCTCAACAGAACATTTGCTGATAGTTTCCCCCCTCTTCTGTCTATATTAGCTCAAGCTTGCATAACCCACACACTAAGGAGAAATATCATAGCGTGTATCAGAGGAGGGAAACTGAGTCTACAGAAGAGGACCAGGGCCTCAGAGGGATGTAACCCTTGCCAACTTGGTGCCACAGCCCACTAACCAGCCCTGTGATTTGGAAATTTATGTCCCATGTCTCTCCAAATAAAAGCCTAAATGTGCATGTTTACAATCTTTCCAGTCATGCAACACCAAGGAGCCGAGACACACACTGCCCATGTCATTCCTACAATATTTATCCCCCAATCCATTTCGCAATGAATACTCACACTGATATGTACGTTATCTCATGGAATGGTCCCCGCCCCCAATCTGTGCATCCAGGTTCAGAACCGATTGGGGGTGTGGAGAGAATACAGCTGTTGGAAATGTGAGGTTTATGTGGGCATTTATAACAGAACCCAGTCCTGAGTCATTCCTGCATTTGAGGTTCAAAGTCAACATTATGGGATCCTGCTGTCATTTCCAACTGCATTGTCCTCGGGGCTAAATTTTAAAAGCTGAAAAAATAGCTGCATCTAGTGTTAAGGTAAATTGGAGAACTTCAACTCCCTCGTCAGTTTGCCGCTTGCTCCCTTTGCAAAGCTGCTCTGCTTTGTGTTCCTATTCACTTGTTTTGGGCCCCATCTCTTAGCAACTATTTCCATTTGTCTGGGGACTGGCCTTTCGGTCCCCTGAGATCCCAGGCCCCTGCGGGGTAATATAATAAGCGATGCGTCCGTATCAAAGGTAAACCCCAGACAGAACTTCCCTTCAAGGCTGGAGAGGAAGGCTTTTGCTTCTAAAGAAGACGGGAAAACACCGGAGAGGCAAGTGTGGGGCATCTTGGAAACAACAAACCGCCGCCGCCACCCTGATGAGCTGCTTTGTAACAAGACGCCTCTAAGCCTCAGTGGCTTGTGTTTTGGTGTGAGTGCTCCCAGGTTGCACACTGATATATTGGGTGTGTGTGTGTGTGTGTGTGTGTGTGTGTGTGTAGGGGGGTGAAGTTAGGGGGTTCAAGGGGAGGGATAAAAGATGCCTTCTGTGAATGAGTATTGCACTTGTCCTTGGCAATATTTGAACAAAGATCAGTTTTAGTTATATGTATCTGAAAATTGAAATTTAAAAGGGTGAATGCTCAGAAATTAACATATAATTCATACATAGAGAAGTACCATTATGCATTTTCTCTTCAATTTAATGTGATTTTAAAGATGCTGGGCAATCTGCTTTGCAATAAATGGAGTGATGATGACACTGGCTGTATCTTCAGTCCCCAAAACAGGTCCTAGCGCACGCTGCCCATGGGAGGACTCAGGAAGGCGCATGCCTACCATAAGTCATCTCTCTATTTCCCTAGCTGGCAGACTGCTTCACCAGGGATGCTGTGACCCACGTGGCCAAACTGCAGGTTAAAGGCAACAAAACCTTCCTGACCAATTCCTCTTCAAATTTTGATTAATATCTGACAGTAGACTGAAAATACCCTTCAGCAACCTCCATCACCCTTGGAGATTTTGAGGCACTGTTCTAAGCTAAACAATGAAGAAAGAGCATTTTTTTTTTAAATAACAAAAACAGTGAAAAGGAAGGAATGACAGTTATATACGTGACATTCTGTATTCCAGTTTCTGCATTTTAACATAGTGAAGATATAACATGTTAAGAAAATGGTAAAATTTAAACATGTTTTTCTTTTCATTAATTTAAGTAGACATTTTAAGCCTAAGATACAGTTTGAGTGATCATGGGGGTAAGTTAAATTCTGTGGAAAAACTACAAAACATGTCAAAAGGAGAAATAAAAAGATTTGGGGGGGGTGGCGGAGGAAAAAGAGGTTCATTTTAAGCCTAAGATACAGTTTGAGTGATCAAGGGGGTAAGTAAAATTATGTGGAAAAACTACAAAACATGCCAAAAGGAGAAATAAAAAAAAGATTTTTGGGGGGGGGTGTGAGGGAGGAAAAAGAGGCCTGAGATAAAGAAATCATATCAGAATAGAATTTCAAAATATATTTTACATTTCTAGGATCACACACAAAAAATTCCCTATAAGCATTACCTTAAAACATTTGTTATCAGAAATATAGTTTTGGGAATGAAAATAAACATTTGATAATGTAATAGAAACATAATCAGATATGCTATACATGTGTCATTTTAACACATACTCTTTATGGTACATTTCATATAAGAATGATAAGTTATTTTTACATTATTTATAAAACTGGCAACATGAGTTCCCAGATTTAACTATTTGCCTGGGGGACTCTGGTGCCCACATCCCACAATGGGAAACCACCACATGCACAGATACAACTCCCTGCGATCTGGTCAGGTCTCTCTGAAGTTCCCCAGGATTTAGAAGTGGCCCCAGGAGGGAGGTGCTGGGGAGGAGTGAGGGCTGCCCCTCAGCTCAGGGGGCCTACAGGCCACAGGCTGGTTTGGAGAGGGAAGGAGGATTAGGGGTGGATAAGGAAAACTGAACTGGAAGTTAGTTATTCTATTAAGTGATCCACTCCTCACTCTCCCTAAGAAAAGTTAATTTTTTTTTTTAATTTTAAAAATTGAAAGTCTCAAACTTCAGTGAAGTTGTCTTTTAGTACTTTCAGCCAAAAAACACCTTAACTCTCTTCATTTTCTGATTTTATGACCATATATCCTGAAGATAGCGTTTTTCTTCTTTTAAAGTAGCCAAAGTTTTCATTGCTTCCAGTTTATCAACTCCAATCTCTTTGCTTATTATTTCCACAAGGGTATCATTTACATCCCTGGCCATATTCTTAGCATCTCTAGAAAAAAGAAATAATAGTACCAATGTTTAACACAGGAATTTTTACCAAATCTTCCTTAATTCATGAACCTAAGGCTCCCCTATCACTACACTTTAGTCCTCCATTTCTTCAGAAAGAGTCCCCAGATGTCTCCCAGTCCCAGTCCCGTCACTCCCCTAACACCAGGCCTTCCCACAGTGACCATTCTAACATGCACTGGTCACAGCTTACACTCCTCTCCTTCAATGTCCGTGTCCTGGGAGCGGCCCAAACCTTAAGTGTCAAAGGACCTTCCCATCTGGCTTCTGCTCACCTCTCATTCCCTCCCCAATTCTCAAGTCACAGAGAGGCACTTGCATCCCAAGGGCAGTAAGATTTTTTACAGTTCTAAGGCTTCACATGTGTGTGTGTGACTATGCGCACGCACACCTACCCACACGCACGCACTGTCAGACCCACTTACTGAGAACGTCCATGTGCCTGGCCCTTCTCTCAATGCTTTGACGTGTCTCAGCTCTGTTCATTTACAGGAAGAGTGAGGTGCCCCCTCCCCAATGCCCTGCAGTCCCCTGCAGAGCATTTGCTATATTGTGGGCATCTGGTCACCTGCTCCCCACCCAGGGAATGCCCTGTCTGGTGGCAGGGAGTGTATCTCATTTATCTTTATACCTCTCATCATCTGAACAATGCCAAATACTCAGTAGGCACTTGAATATTTGTTAAATGAAAGAAGTGTTGGACAGGACACTAGCACTTCAGAAACTGAATCTGACCTGCCCCTTACAGTAAAATATAAGTTAAAGTCATTTCAGAACTTATATTTCTCTTCCTGTACTTAAGCATCTAATCTCTCCTCCCTCCATGCCTGGGTTATTACCCGATTGGTGCCTTCCTCCTTTAATAAATATCACTGCCTGCCTCCCCTACCTGGCACCTGAGCATGAGGGCTGCTTACCCACACACGTAAATGTAACCATTCTCGTGAAGGAGGAGCCTTGCCACCTGCTTGCTGTGAAGCTGGATGTTGTCCTGCACATACTTCACTGGGGCTTGCTCCTCCCTGGCAGGAGAGTCTCTTGAGAAGGAAACCTTCAGGTGAGTTAGGATTCCATGCTTATGGAAATGTCTGAGCTCTTCTCTGAAATACACCGGAAGGTTTGTGATTTAAAGTTGAAAAGTCTGCAATGAGAATCGCACCCCCGTGGTTGAGGCAGACAATACCAGAGTTGTAGAGTACCTGAATAAGTAATCCCTCTCCTGATGTCTACAGCCAAAAAACAACCACATCGCCCCATAGTGTCCGTCTGGATGCTGTTCTTGGAGTTTCTCTCTGCGTGAAAGAGAAAGGTGAGATGTTTAACTTAAGGAATATGTATATACAACCAAGCTCTCTGTTTGGCTAGGAAATTCCACCAGCCAACCCAGATCTGTCCGTAAACTCTACCTTTGAAGTCTCTGAAAGTTCACTCACTGAATTAACATTTTAACATTTCACTCTCCTCAGGGCACCTCGGCCCTGCAGCAGACACTGCAATGAGTCAGCGTCTCTGAGCTGTGGACACCTAGGAGCTCTACAGGACATCTTAGTAACACGGAAAATACAACCACCACATTGTGAAACTTAGACTGACTTCTACATTCAATATTAATGTCAATCGTATGAACAAAATGAACTCTCAGTTAATACACTGGAAAGTGGCACAGGGCTTCGAAAGGAAGAACGCTCTGTTGTGGAGTGTCAGAAATGCCGGGCATACCACTGAGGCATGCCGAGTGTGTCTGCCATCACTCTTCCGCTTTCTTAAGGTAAAAGAGTAAAATGACAGTAAGTTTATGTCCAGATTATGTCCAAATTGCATTACTTTCGTATCTGGGGAACAGTACATAGAAGCTGTTTATTATTTTACATATGGGGAGAGAAACACATTGTATTTATTTTATTTCAAACAATTCTGTTCTCAGAAAAAATCATATCCATTAGTATCATCCATTGAATATTATAGATGTTTGAGGCTTAACTTTGAAACTTCTGGTGTAATTGGCACTGTCACCACCAATTTTATCTACTTAATAGATGGGACAGCCTGCACAGCATCACAGCATGAAGCTCTGCTGGAAACGTGTCTCCTGTGGGCAGCCAGGGAGAAAAGGAAAGTGCTGCGGTGAGAAGGGAAGCTCCAGCACAAAGTGAATCTCCAGAAGACGGCATCTTTACTTTTCCCGTGGTGACAAATTATTATGCTATCACACATTTGATCATAAATTTTTCAAATAAAAACTTTATAAGCAAAATCCAATACTATCCTAAAAACCAAGGGAGAAACAAAAATGCTCTCTGTTCTATTCCCACCCAGGACCACATGTGCTCACCAGCCAGACAGCTCTTACCTATGCTGCAGGAAACCAATGAAGGGCGCTACGCCAGTTCCCGGACCCACCATGATGATGGGGACGGAGGGGTCATTCGGCAAGTGGAAAGAGTTTGCTGTGCGAGGAGAGATGGATATCTGCAACAGTAACCCAACAGTCATAAGTATGAAAGAAAACCTAGACAAAGCCTATAACCGACATGATATTTGCTAAAGAAAGGAGAAAGTGCAAATTCCCCTAAAAGAAACATCATAAAATTAAACAGCAGCATTACATCTTACTGAAACCACAAACATATTTGTCACTACAGAGAAATAAGCCTGTCTTACACATTTTTAATTTCCATCCACATTCATGGTATTTTAAAAATGACAGGCATGATATTTCTGAGGTAGAACATGACTTATATAATCTTTTTCTAGTTCCATGAATAAGATCTGTTTCCTAGCATGCCACCCATTGCATGCATTTTGGAGATAAGCAGAAACAATGAGGACACGACTCTTCAAGTTTGCACACACAACATTAACATTAAGATGGGGTGAAAAGTTTTAAGTGAAAATTAAGGAACTAAAGGGGAAAGTAAGAGCTTGCTCTGAAGATTTAGAGATTGTGCTATGGTATGCTGGGTCCAATGTTACTAGTGTTTGTGCAAAACTAAAAGAATAAGTGATGGAGACAGATAAAATCTTTTCACTATTTTTCTTCTAAACCATATGCTGGGGTGCTTACAAGGAAATCAGTTGGTAAATATACTTCTTTCCAGGTTCACTTTGCCACATGCCCAAGTTATGCTGGGTGAACACTAAGAGTTAAAAACAGCGGAATCCACTCTATAGTCCAAGCTTACTGTATATATTTCAACCTTGAATTCAAGGAAAATCATAAGGAATTCCA